TTTTATTTGTTTTTGAAGCAAGGTTTTATTTGTTTATTTCCAATGTCTTTGTGTCAAGGTAACAAGGCATGCTGCCTTATCATGGACATTTAGATTGTTTTTCATCTTTAACTGTTACAAACAATTCTGCTTGAAACGCCCTTCAATTGAAATTTGTGTTTTCCACCATACAGGCTGGTCTGTATAAAGTGATCATCTTTTTATTCATGCCAAATTTGTTTCTGCCGTATGGGCCCGGCAGCCCTTGGCTCTGGAGAGTGGCATTTTGAGAAACAAACTGAATTTGTCTCTGCTTTGCTCCCTTTCCTGAGTTTCTAGATCTCCTTTGTCTTCTCTCTGGCTGATGTTTAATTTAATCAGTCACTAAGTGTTAACTGCACCCGAGTGTGTGAACTTAGCAAGGAGTGAAGGCACAAAAAAACAAATCACAAGGTGTGGTATTATAATAATAGTATTCGTTGGCCACTTATATGCAGCTTACACAAACTATGGTAAGTCAGTCTTTCTGATGCTTATGAAAACCCAACAGAATAGAAACCTTTATTATCCCATTTAACAGATGGGAACATCGAGTCTCAAAAAGTGAAGTCAGCTTAAAATCACACAACTAGCAAGTGGCAGGGCATTTATTGAACCCCCCCCCCACTGACCCCTGAACCTCCCAGGCAGTGGGGTTGTAAGGAGGTGGGTGGGTGGATGGGGGGAGGGGTCTCCAGGTTGTGTGAACTTGGACTCTGAAATTGTTTCAGCTAGGGCTGAACTCTAGCTCCTGGGCTGTCCTTCAAGTTAAATGAAATGATCAATGGGAACGGGGCAGCCCCAACGCAGGAGCACAAAAGGTTCTTACTGGGTGATCATCCCTGTCCTGTCCTTGCTCCGCAAGCTGATAGTCTAGTTGCCAAGTTAGAGATGAGTTCAGATGAGAGCGCCATGCTCTGCAGGAGCCGCCTGGGAAGTCAGCGAGCCGGGGCAGATTTGCCAACAAATGCAAATGTCTCCTTTGCTCCCTCTCAGCCTCTACAACTGACCTCCTCTCCCAGCTCCCCCCATAAAGTAAGGGGATGGCTTTCGGGCTCCCAAATGGAGTGCCTCAAGCCCCTTCTCTTTCTTGGTCCCCAGGCAGTAGAGATGACAGGAAGTCACCCGTGGAGAGGCTCTTTCTGGCACGTGGGCAAAGAGAAAATGTGGCTTGGAGGGCGCTGCTTTTTCTGCCCTTCAATGGTCCGGATGGGGGAGGGGGCTGGCTGTTGAGCAACTGCTCCGGAGACACTCCAGAAGCCGAAATGAACATATGCCTCTTTCTAACAATTGGCCTGGGAGCCATCCAATAGATGGAGGGCGGATCCGCACCTCTTGGATCCGGAGTCTGCAGCGGAGACGCAGACGGTGTTTCCAGACCAGCTCCCGAGTGGTGACTGGGGGGGGGGGGGGAGGATAGGTCAGGGGTCCAAATCAGCAGCGCGCAAGTCAAAAGGCGCTCCTTCGTCACCGCTTGGATTTCATGGGAATATATACATATATATTTTTCATCCTAGGCAAGCGTCGTGAGGGCTTGAAGGTGTTTTGAGCAAGCAAAGTCTTGGGGGGGGGGGGTTAGGTCCGGACACATCCCGTAGCCTTTAATCAGAGGGAAACTGAGCACGACCCACAGTCCTTGGCCCAAACAAGGAAGCAAACGTGCTTAGTAGGACGTATTACAGATGTTGTTGGAGGAATGGAGAGAATGCAAGGCAGCCTTCCGGACTGCGGCTTGGGTTTACCTGGCACTCGGAGCACTTGCCCTCCCTCTCCCCGCCTTCCTCCGGATGCCAACGAAGAGCCTTCACGTGGCCCTCGGTTTGCTCCCCATCTTCAAGTCAGTAAACCCCACAGTCTATCAACAAAAAGAACTTTGTTAGAAGAGTAAAGACAGGACACTCGGGACACACACACACACACACACACACCCCGAAAAGAAAAAGACCTTCAGGTCTTCAAATCTAATTAAGAAGACAAAACACACACACAGTGAAAAGGACTTCTTGACTCCTCCACCCCTTTCTCTTAACTTCGGGATTTAAGAACACGTTTTGTAAACGGTGTAAAGGGACTAGCTGTTGCCGAAACACAGCGAAAAGCGGGAGTGTGGTACAGAGGTAATCCCAACGGCCCTCCTGTGAGAGGGAAGTGGAGGTTGTTGGCTACAAAGACCAGGAACTGGGATTAAGCGAAGACTTCAGACCCCTTTCCAGTAAGCATTTGTAAAATGACATCGCAAGGCAACAAAAATTCACATGCAAAAACTCATTGCTAGATGGAAATGATGATCTACTCATGATGAAATAACCTGATTTCAGGGGAAGGCACTGCATCCTGGAGCAAGCTCTTATCCTGATGCCCATTCTTGGCTTTTGGACGAGCGTCGTGAGGCGCACCTGGCCCCGCCGGCCGGTACAGCAGCATTTCTCTCGTCGCATCCCGCCAGCCTCCTTCTACCCGGGACTACCACAAAACAAATTCTTGAACCCAACTCCAGCTTAGGCCTTCCAGGGAAGTCGTCATTGCCATCTAAGCCCTCCCAGAGACAAAATCTGCGACTTTCAGGGAAAGGGGGCCTCGATCGTCAGCTCTTCAGCGGGGCAGACGGTGTAGCTCGAGGGGGGCAGACGCGTTTCCATAAATCCCTGCAGAAAACAGCATGCATCCCCACCTCGGGGGGTCCTACCCTGAACCAATATGCACCCCTCCCATCCTGAACCTCTGAAGTCCGCTCTGGCCACCCGTTAGATTTAGGTCAGAAAACAGACACGAACAGCTCTCCCTCGTCTCAGTGAAATTACTAAATGGAATTTATTGGGCAAGTCCATGCAGGGCAGTGGGGAGAACCCATGTCCCGGATCCGGATCCCGTCAACTTTAAAAGCACAGGCACCGGCCAGGACTCCCAGCGAAGGATGCCCGGGGCGTGGGTCCTTCAGCTCCACCCAAGGAACTGCAACCCGTCTCCAGGGCTGCCTTGGCGACGGGGCCACGCGAACTCCGTTCCCCAGCCGGCCCTTCGCTTTCACACGATCCGCGGTGACTGCACCAGCTCGAGCGCCTTTAAAGGGCCACACACGCCTGCCGCCGCTATAAAATGTTCCCAGCGGCACAGCTGCAGGAGGAGCGCCGCTGAGCTGCCGAAAGCAGGCTCGCTCCGCCCGGCTGCCTTCCCGCAGCCCGCCGCTCAAGGGCTCTTCCCAGCGCAGGCGAAGAGGGCAGAGGAAGGCACAGCACCCTCTCGGACTCTCGGTGAGTATCCAGTTCAGATTTTGCCACCAACTCGCCCACGAGCCAGGACATGTGCTAATAATGCCCTAAGCCGGTTATAAAGACGTGGAAATTGGGGGAGAAAAAAAAGGGGGGTATGGGGGGGGTCTGTCCTTACTGGGATTCCTAGCCGAGGCCAGTCTGCTGCCGTGTGCGTGTGCATCAGGGCTCTCTGGGCGACAATGGGGGCTTGAGAGCCGGAGCCCTGCTCCGGGGAAGGGAGCGCGGTGACCGCCACCGCCCCGGAGTCCGGCGCCGAAGCTGCGGGCGGGCGGGCGGGCACCGGCGCGGGCTGGAGCTGCCTGGCGCGCCACGGTGCGGTGCGGCGGCGCGGCGCGGCGGTGCGGGCTTTTCCCAGGCGCCCTGGGGTCGGGTAGCCACCCGCGCGGCTGCGGGCACTCAGCGGCTACCGGCTCGCGGCGACAGAGGCGTGCGTGTGCGCCACGGGCCGGGGGCTCCGCCGCTTTGCCCGCGACTTAACAGGGCTCTGCGCTTCCCTCTCTTCAGGGCAAGCGGCTTCGCCAAAAGGTAAACCGGGCCGCCGGGCTGGGCGCTGGATTGGGCGGCGGGGCCGAGGACTCACGCGGAGCAGGCGATCGCCGGCCCCGGCCAGGGGGGGTTTGAGGAGACTTGTTTTGTGTTGGAAAGCTCTTCTGCTGCGAGCGGAGGGGACGACGCCGCCGGCGCGCCCGCCCGGCCGCCCGCCCGTCAGCCGGCCCGGGCGAGCGCCCACTCCTCCCGCGGATCCCGCAGCACCTTTTCCGCCTGCGCCCGCGTTTTCTCCGGCTTGGCTTCTGTGGACTTTACTAATCGTCCAGACCGCATCTGGACGCTCCGGCTGAGGGGGCTGCACAAAGCTTAGGTTTCCTTCAGGGGCTCAAGGCGAGAGGGGGCTTTTCGGGCCGAGTTGAGCGGAATAGCGGGATGGAAGTTAGCGAAATTTAGGCAACTTGCCTTCGCTGCCCGGTGGACCTCCGCGCTCTCCGCCCTCCCCCCACGCGCGCACACACACGCCCCCCCACATACACACCCCCACACACCCCTCTCCCTATAAATGACGGCGGTCAGGCAGCCAGCGGAGTCCTGCCTCACCGAGCGTCGGACTTGGGAGTCAGACCTGGCTGCGAATCCCTGCTCTACCACTTTCTAGCGCTGTGACCTTGGGCAAGTTACCGGACCTCTCCGAACCTCTCTCACTCTTTTTGGTTAGAGGGGCTACTGCGTTGACGGTCGGCGGCTTAGCTGGGGGGCGGCTGGGGTAGGGAGTGGGGGGCCGGCACAAGCGGCGGCCGCGTCGGGGCACTCCGCTGGCGCTCAGTAAGTGTTGGAGAGGCGCGGGAGTGGCGGCCGCCGGCGCTGGAGTGCGCCCCCGCGCGCGAAAACGCCACGGGTCCCTAAACTCGCCGCTGGAGGCCGAGAACCCCGCTCCCCTTCCCGCCTGTGCAAGTCTCTACTATCCGTCTCTGCCACGGCACTCGCGGGAACGGACGCTCAGGGTTCTGGTGGCCTGGGTGTTCGCTCTCACCGTGCGGGGATGCTCCCCGCAGCCGCCAGCTTTGGCGGCTCCATCTGGGATGCTGCGAGGAGGGCAGCCGAGCTCTCCGCAAACAACGGGCCTTTAGTTTTCAGGTGGCGAAACTGAACGCGCCCAAGCCAAGCCGCAGTGCTGTTTGGATTTTTAAATTTCTCCTTCTGAGTGAGAAAATAATCGAGATGGAGCCATCCGGTTGGTGCCATTTTAACTTTTGATTCCCCCAACAGGTTAAACACGGGGCCCCACCTCCCACCCCACCTGCCTCTCCCAAGTCTTTTTTTCCTCTCCCCTTCCCACCCTCATCTAGGCGGGAGGGGGCTGCCCGCCCAGGGGAATGCCTGAAGCGAAGGACGGGCGGCGGGACTGGGAGCCTGGTGGCTGGGGGCCGCGAGGCACCAGCCGGCTAGAAAGCACTTGTTGCTATGGGTTTCCCAGCCGCCTCTCGAAGCCGCGCCGCAGTGGTCGCCTCGCGGCTTGGAGAGAGGACTTGGACGTTTCCGCGCTGCAGAGTTTTGCCCTCCAATGGACTGGGGTGGCGGAGGGAGTGGTGGGGAAAGACAGAATGGGAGAGCTGGGCCAGGGATAGCGATCGAAGTGCCGCTGGCTTCCTCTGACCGGTGTCAGCAACACTTAACCGAGCGCCTGTGGAGCACAAACCCGAGGGTCAGAGCCCACTGCGGGACGCTGATGGAAAGCAACCGAACTGGAAGGAGGCTGGGTCCTGCCTAGGGGAGCTCACAGCCTGAAAGGGGAGAAGTACTAAAGTAGTATTCGCTGCGAAATGACATCAGGACAGACTTTTTTTTTCCCCCAAGGCTCTCCCCGTCCCGCCCTCCCCCCCCCCCACACACACATTTCTTTATCTCCTCTTCCTCTGTTGTTGCTATTGCTGCGGTTGTTGTGGTGGTGGTGGTGACGTTTTGTGCGTTTGGGGACAGCACGGGGTAAAGGAAAAGGCTGGATAGAAACTGGAAAAGATGGGCAAGCCCTCCGCTCCCCCTGACATGTTTCTTAGAACGTGAAAATTGCCTGCTGCTGGAGGCACTAGGACTATTGACGGACCACACGACCTTGGAGGAGGGGGTTTACTCCGGGGATGGACTCCAATGGGGGGAGGGATGTAGGGGGACAGCTACTGATTTTTCCCCTCCTCTTTTTCTCTCTTCCTTCCTTCCCTCCTTCTTTATTGCCTTCTTCCCCTACTCCCCAAGAAAGCGGTGCAATGACGACAGAAAACTAATGAGTGAGAACTTTGTAGAAGTGTGGAATCAGATTCTTAATGACCAGACAGGAAGGAGGTTAGTGTCACAGAGAATTCTAGATTAGAGATGTTTTAGGGTTCTCAAGATTCTTAAATATATATTCTTACGTATCAAGGGGTATATATTATGAACATGAAATGCTACATCTTCAGTTGATCGTGAAAGCTAGAATACATGATGCTTTGAAATATGTATGTATATATATGTATAGGCTTCTAGGAAAACAACTTGAACATTTTTGTATTATTGCTTATTACATTCTGGTTTTGTATATTCTTTTGCTTTCATTCATTTAAATGAGAAGTCATTTAAAGTATGATGGCTTGGCCAATGGTCAAGTGAAGCATGTGGGCACAGGAGTGCTGAATCCTGCTCCTAGAACCTCTGCTACCTGACTGGAAAACCACTAGATTTCTGCACCTTCATGTCCTTGCAGGAAGAGTTGGTCCCACCTGTTCCTCGTGATGGATGTGGCTGGGCTCTGGGAAAGTGTAACAAGAGGACAGGGCTGGAGAGATGGGAGAAAAGGAAACATTTCTAGCTGGGTTTTTTTTTTTTTTTTTTTTTTTTTTTTTTTTGGCACCGGCTGCTTCAGTATCCCCACACCTCCCTATTCAACAGGGTTCTCGAGCTCTGGGACCTTTACTTTGGAGACTTGTTCCTTCCCTGTGTGCCACCAGCAGATTTCCAGGTCTTCCATGCTCTAACTTGCTTTTCATATAGCCCAGCAGAGGCCAGAGCTCTCCAGTGCAGAGGCTCGTGGCCCACTGAGACAGGGACATTCCTGCCCTTGGAAGCAGAAGGTCACCAATTCACCCCTAACTCAGGAGTCTGAGTCCCTTGCAAGAGGAAACAGCCATGTCTATCCCCTTGGGTAGATTGCCGCCTGGACAGCACCTGGCCATATCTAGCCCCTTGCCTGCTTCAGGCCAAAGCCCAGTTTGCTGGGCTCCCCCTTGATCCAGCGGTCTCTGATTTGGGGTTTAAGCCCCATCACCATCCTTGTCCCAGGCTCCATGGGATTGCCCTGCCTGGGGCTTTGCCAGCGCTTCTTTGGTCCTTGAAACCTTTCATCCTTATCACTTCTTCTCCCTCACATACAGCACAACAGCTCCAGCTGGCAGCAGCAACCCAGGCCAGTTTATCTGACTTCTGCCAAGGCTCTGAAATGCCAACTATGTCAAGGCCTGCGCTTGATGTCCAGGGTGGCGCCTCACCTGCAAAGGAGGTAAGTTTTGCTGTTTTATGGATGGAAACATCGAGGCCTGGAAAGTACATTGGAATCACATGCTAGGCCCTGTGAGATGTGGCATCTAGCCGCCCTGAGCAGAGAGGAGACAGCTTATCTCTGAGAACAATGAGAATGGCTGCTGCCTAAAGCTGATCAGATGGAGCCGGCTAACCATGTTTAAAAGCTGGCTGGGATAGCAGGAGAGCTGTAGAATTAAGATCACTGCGTTGAAGAAACTAATGTGGGGTTGAGGAGATGCCCATTGTGGAGTGGTGAGGCAGAGAGGGTAGGGAGGAGGGGTGAAGGCAGTAAACCCACTTTAATTTGATGAGCACTCCAGGACCAGGATGAAGGCTGAACTTTGCTCGGAGCTGTGGTAGCCAGAGGAAACTTGAGCTGGAGCCTAGCTTTCCAGTGGGTCCTCTTGCTACCACTTCACCTTTAGCTCCATACAGCATGCCCATAGGAGCTTCTGCGTCTGCTGAATGGGGAAGGGCAAGCCAGGAGCAAGGGACCCTATGCTCTGCCTCTCTGTCTTCTAGGATGCCAACCCTGAGATGAGCTCGCTGGCCTACTCTGAGCTGGGAGTGAAGGATCGCAAAGCAGTGGCCATTCTGCACTACCCCGGGGGGACCTCCAATGGCACCAAGGCCAGTGGGGCTTCTGCTGGTTCTTCTGGGTCTCCGCCTCCAGCAGGCTCTCCTGCTGCTGCCCCACCCACTAAGCCCCCACCCTTTAATGTGCACCCTGCCCCTCACCTGCTGGCCAGTATGCAGCTGCAGAAACTTAATAGCCAGTATCATGGGGTGGCTGCCACCACCCCGAGCCAGTCTGGAGAGGCAGGGGCCCTGCAAAACTGGGGCTGTGAGGCTCAGGTGGGAGGAGCAGAGTCACTCCCCGCTCCTGCTGCTGGGGCCCAGAATCCTGCAATCATTGATTCTGACCCGGTGGATGAGGAGGTGCTGATGTCGCTGGTGGTGGAACTGGGACTGGACCGGGCCAATGAGCTTCCGGAGCTGTGGCTGGGGCAGAATGAGTTTGACTTCACTGCGGACTTTCCGACTGGTTGCTGATGCCAAGTGCCCCCTAATGATGGAGGAATAAAGCCACCGATTCTGTTGTAAATAAAAATAAAAGTTACTTGCAAAGATATGCGCCCGACTGGAGGTGTTCTTGGCTGGGGCCTAATGGTTGTTCTTTAAACAGGCCCAAGGACCATAGTGGGTGGTGATTGCACATGGCTAGATGAAGGGAAGCTGAAAGGGATGGGAGAAGTGGGGAGGCTACAGGGCTCCTCCCTGAATTCGTGTTGTCACCACCATTGCCCTGCTGCTGCCCTTTCACTGGGAGTCCAAGTACCTAGCCTCATTCCTCTAAGGGCTCAGGGATCCTGTCCTCTCTGAGGTTGGACACAGACTGGGTGAAAGAGACTGATAACAGTCTTTGGCAAATTCCTTGTCATTTGCACATCCAAGTCTAAAGGCACAACCCTGGCCACGTGGCGCACACTTCCCCAACTTTAAAAGCTATCCCTATTCGTTCCCTAGCCCCTATCCAATGAACCCATTAAAGCAATTATTTTGCTGTCTTGCCTATTGTACAATAGATAGAATCTAAGAATTTTATCTCCTGGGAACTCATATTTCTGGGAAGTTGCAAAAGCTGAAGATAGAGTAGGCCAGGTGTCTTCTTTAGGCCCTTCACACAGCTGTTCAGCCTCTCTCCCTCCAAGTCTGAGACAGGATGAGCTGACCTGAGTGTTCCCTAAACTTCTGCCTTCCCGGCCCACCCTGTGTGGGGACAGCCTGTTTCTTTGGGCTGCCTCTTCATCTTACAGATACAGATCAGAATTCAGCTTGACGAGTTCAAGGTTTGGAGATAGAGTCCTTGCCCTTATTTTATGTGGCCTCAAAAGCATGCCAAGTGACAAGACGGCAGCAGCACTGCCTTGGCTCCTGGCTTTATGAAGCCTTCAGGCAGCCTTGTCTTCATACTGACACAACTCCAGGACCTGGACACCCCTCTGCCCACATTCCAGTGTCTCGGACATTGTTCCTGGAACACCGTGGAAACCACTCTGTCCAGCCTCTCAGGACTAGCATGAGGCCTAGCCTGCCCCAGAGTGAACACTTTCGAAGGAGCTAAAGGAGCCCACAAGCAAAAGGAGTGCTTTGTTGGATTCCACACCACCTGAGGCCTGCAGCTGTTCTGGGGCGGGCACTCAGCTGGACACTGGGAACATGAATTAATTTGTACCTATTTGGGGGTTCCCTGTCTCACAAAGAGAAAGATAGATACAAACAAATTGTAGCAAAACTGTACTTCCTAGAACACAGGGGAAGGTGCTATTCAGTCCCAGAAAAGGAAACAGCACCATCTGCCTGGGAAGTCTGGGGGAAGGCTTCCTGCTATTAGACTGACTCATTTGTTTGTTTTTGTATCTCATAAGCAATAAATATAATGTCTCTATAAAAAGTAGACTTTTGACAGATAAAGCTAAAAGTCGATTTGGCCAATTCTCTCCCTTGGTTGCTTCGGGCCCTCCAAAGATGTACCAATTATTAGAAATCTCCCATTCAGTTCTTCACTACCAAATGCCCAGAATGTCTGCACTTGGCCTAGGCAATGCCAGAAGCCAGGAGCTCAATCCAGGTCTCCCACGTAGGTGACAGAGACCCAAGGGTGTGAGCCATCACCTGCTTCCCAGGGTCTACATTAGCAGGAAACTGGGATCAGGCGATGCAGCTAGGCATCAAATTCAGATACTCAGATATGGCGTGAGGTTGTCTTAATCACTATGTCAGATGTCCATCCTATTCATCTGTCATGCATCCTTGCTGGGCCTTGCTTTTTGCATATGGAAAGAAATGGGTTTGGGGGTGGGAATAATGGATTTAATTATTTGTGATTAGTTAATAGCCTGAAAACAACCCATAGGCTTCATATTTAACAAATAAATAATTTGCCTATTTTGGTAGAATTATATATATCATTTCCTTATGAGGAAAGCAAGGAATTGGGTTTTTAAATCAAACTTGAGTCAGCCAAGAGAAGAGCGAAGGGGCAAGCTGGTACAAGTTCACGGGGCCGGTAAGGCTGCATGAGGCTGAAGGTGACTGCAGCAGGCAGAGTACTCACACCACGTGGGAAGCAGCATGTCCTTTTCGAGTTGGCAGTCCTGGTGGCTTGGGGAGAATCTTTGGCTCAGACTTTTATGTGGTTCTGAAGCAGGAAGTTCTCCCTGATTGGTTAATGTGTATGCTGATGAAACATGGTATGTGAATCAATCAGGAAACTGCCATTGGGTAGTCAGTTTTGCACAGATGTGTGCAGGGTGTTCAGTTAGGCCCATTTGGCAGATTCATCAACATCTAAAGATTACTCCCACCTCCTGCTTCCTCAGGGCTCCTGAAGAATTGCCTCATGTGTTTTTTCTTTCTTCTTCTGCTGCTTTTTCTTCTTCTTTCTTTTTCAAGGGGCTTCAAATTCCATCAGTATGTACGGTGGGGTGGGCCCTCAGAGGTGGAATCTGAAGCAGAATGGAAGGACGGGAAGAGATAAGACTCTGAAACACTAAAAGGTCTTAGAGTCCCTCCCTTGCTGAGATCTTCAAAGGTACAATTGGTTGCCCAAAGCTGATCAGTGGGTTGGACCGTGGTTCCCAGCTTGCGGCCCTGACCTGTGTGAGAGCTCTGGAGCCCCCAATGATGGTAGCAGCTCCTGGGAAGGGGATAGGCCCAAGCCAAGAACCAGTATTTTTATAAGGTGGAGGGACTGCTTGGGAACTCAAGAAGGTGACAGGTGCAGCTGGTAGACAGTTTGTGTCAGGGAATAGTCTGGGCATTCTTAATGGATTGGGGTTCTCCAGAGAAAGAATCAACAGGATATATAGGTGTGTGTGTGTACATAAATAGGGCATTCCTCAGAATCCAGAAAGTATTAATTTTAGCACATAACAAACTCTTTTTTTTTTTTAAACTAATGGCATCTTTTTGAGGTCCTACTGGGAGATAGGCCAGGAACTAGAGCCTTCATGTCCATAGGTTATTTTTTTAAAGATTTATTTTTATTATTATTTTTTTTTTTTATTGGAAAGGCAGATATACAGAGAGGAGAGACAGAGAGGAAAATCTTCCGTCCGATGATTCACTCCCCAAGTGACCGCAACGGCCGGTGCTATGCTGATCCGAAGCCAGGAGACTCTTTCGGGTATCCCACACAGATGCAGGGTCCCAAAGCTTTGGGCCATCCTTGACTGTTTTCTTGGGCCACAGGCAAGGAGCTGGAAGGGAAGTGGGGCGGCCGGGATAGAACCGGCGCCCATATGGGATCCCGGGCATGCAAGGCGAGGACTTAACCACTTGCGCCACTGCGCCGGGCCCAACAAACTCTTTAGATGCCCAAATCCCTTATGTAAAATAGCATAGTATTTGCATATAACATGCTTATAATTAAAACATCTCCAGATTACTTGTAATACCTGATAGAGAATAAATTACTTTATACCATATGCTTAGGGAATAATGACAAGAAATGTTTAGTAGAATGTCTTTGTCCAAATATTTCTGATCCACAGTTAGTTGAATTTACAGATGCTGAGGGCTAACTGTTTCTATTAAGTAGGGATTGGGGCCGCTGTTTGGTATAGGCGTTCTGGTGCAACTTGGGATGTGCACCCTTCCTACCAGAGTGTCGTAATTCAAGTCCTGGTTCAATTCTTGACTCCAACTCCAGCTAATGTCCATCCTGGAAGGAACAGGTGGTGGCTAAGGTATTTGGATTCCATGTGGGGGACCTGGTTGAGCTTCTAATTCTTTTTTTTTTTTTTTTCATTTTTTCTTTATTTTTGACAATCTTTACATAGTTAATTATGACACAAAGGTTCAAGGGCTACAAGAAAGTGGGTAAAAGTATTCTTTCCACGTTGTTTTTTTCCCTGTATCTGGGGTAAAGAGGAAGATAAAAGGAGAAGCCCCACCCAGTCTCCCACCCACCCCAGGTCTCTGATGTGGGGCATGCTCCGAGGGTCTTGCTCAAGTGGTTTTGATAGTTCAACGGTTCTGAATTGCTGCCAATCACACCATTCCAAGCACGATGAAGTCACTGCAGAATGAGTTCCTCATTCTTGGCTTCATTCTGGTCCAGTGCTGGCTTTTGTAAGAGTAAAATCAGCATTTGGGAGTAAAATCATTTGGAGAGTAAAATCAGCAGATGGGAACTCTCTCTCTCCCAAGTAAATAAAATTAACAAAATAATTTAACTTACAAATAAAATAATGTATCCCGGTCTATCAAAGTTAGAAAACCAGGGCAAATGGGTGCTATAATTCAGTCTGAAGCCAATAACCTGAGAAATGGCCAAGGGGCAGAAAATGACAGATGCACAGCTGAAACAGAAACAAATTCACTCTTCTTCTGCCTTTTTGTACTTTTCGGGCCCTCAGAATATTACACGGTGAACATTCACATTGAGAAAGGTGATCTTCATTACTCATTCCTCTAAGTCATGAGCGAATCCCTTGTGCAAACACCTTCTTGTACCTGGAAGTGACATCTCACCAGCTACCCCTAAATTTGTTTTTGTTTGTTTGTTTGTTTGTTTGTTTTACAAAGCATAGAGTCTAGCATCTTATTGTCCAGATAAGTTCAACAGTTTCTTAGGGAGAACATCTCTGGTCTGAAGGTAGGGCCGGCAGAGTATCATCCCAATCAATTAAAAGCCCCGACATTACATCAGTAACAATTTATAACGTAATTGCTAACCCTAAATTTGACTTGCAACTCTAGAAAAGGTGCTCTGAACAGGGAAAACAGGAACCTTGGCATGGCAACCCTGCCTCCAGGTGCTGGCAGCCAGAAATGAAGCTGCTCTCCAGGAAGCTCAGAAGTGGGCATCTTCCAGGGAGAGCCAGACTCTGCTCAGGGGAGGAGGCAGAGGGCAAAGGACAAGAAAAGAAAAGGAAAGAGAGGGAGTGTGGAAACACAGCACATGCGGGAGGAAAAGCAGGTGGGTCTCCATCCTAGCCTGGTCAGCTCATGTTTACAGGCACATTTGCTTATTAGATCATCAAAAGGTTCCTGAGAAACTCCAAGGCCTGCCCAGGGATAGACTCTGAGGATAGGGGATGGGGAGCAGGGTTGGAGGTGAGGC